CGAAGTATTGTGTATGTTGATGATTGTCTGTCTGTTCGCTACGGCGCCGTGCCTAGTGATTCCTGAGCCTGAGTCTAGTCTGTCTGTTCCTGTGTTTTGACCTACTGCCTTTGTTTGACTTCGCTGTGACATTAAAGCTGCACTTGGATCCGACCCTGCCTTCTCGTATCCTTCCATCCGTAACAGAAATATATACAATTTCTCATATATATATAATAAATATTATAAATTAAATTATGACACAGCTTGTTGAGGACAGATGATATTACTTTTAAATGATCAGACGGACAGACGAGAGAATGATGAGAACAGTCTGATGGACTTACATTGAAGGAGACCAGAGACCAGAATATCACAGAGAATGAACTCTTATGACTTGACCATCACCTAGCAACCACTCAGTAAACACCTAGAAACCATTTATAAAACCCTAGTAACCACCAAGAACGCCCTAGCTACCACCTAGCAACCACCTAGAACATTCAAGTAGCCACACAGAATGCCACAGAAACCACCTAGCAAATGCCCTAGGAACCATTTAGAACACCCTAGCAACCTCCTAGAACATCCAAGTAACCACCTAGCAACCCCCCGGAACACTGAAACTACCACCCACGATGCAATAGAAATAGCAACCATTTAGAACACTCTTGCAACCATCCAGAACACTTAGCAACCACCTAGATCATCCAAGTAACCACCTACAAACACTGTAACTACCACCCATAATGCAAACCATTCAGAACACTCTAGTAACCATCTAGAACTTCTAGCAGCAACTTAGATCATCCAAGCAACAACCTAACCACTCAGAACACTCTAGTTAAAACCTTGAACACATTGCACCCAGAATAATTTAGATCACCCTAGCAACAGCCCAGAACACTTAGATACCACCAAAACCTCCAAGTAATCATCTAGTTACCACCCAGAACACCTAGCAACCAGCTACAGCAACAGTGCCTTAGAAACCACTTAGAACATTGTTGTAACTACCTTGCTACCACCCCAAATCATTTAGATCACCCTAGCAACCACCCAGAACACCCAATCCCTACCTAAAAAATCTAAGTAACCACCTAGAAACCCAGAACATCTAAGTAACCACTTAGTTACCACCAGTAACGCCTTGCAACATACAGTAGCACTGCCTTAGAAACCACCTTCAACATTGTTGTAACCACCTTGCTGTCACCAAAATCAATTAGATCATCATAGCAACAACCCAGAACACCAAGACCATCCAGAACACCTATAACTGCCCTAGTAACCACCTAGAATATTTTTGTAACCACCCAGAACACCTATCAACCACCTAGCACTGCCCTATAAACCACCTAGAACATTGTTGTAACCACCTCACTGTCACCAAGAATCATTTAGATCAGCCTAGCAACCACCCAGAACAACTATACACCACCTAGAACATCTAAGTAACTGCCTAGTTACCATCCAGAACACCTAGCAACCACCTTCAGTAGCACTGCCCTAGAAACCACCTAGAACATTGTTGTAACCACCTCATTGTCACCCAGTCATTTAGATCAACCTAGCAACCACCCGGAACACCTAGACACCACCTATAACATCTAAGTAACCACCTAGTAACCAATCAGAACACATAGAAACCACCTAACACTGCCCTAGAAACAACCTAGTACATTGTTGTAGCCACCTCACTATCACCCAGAATCATTTAGATCACCCTAGCAACAACCCAGAACACAAAGCAACCACTTACAGTAGCACTGCATTATAAACCACCTAGAACATTGTTGTAACCACTTTGCTGCCACCCCGATTCATTTAGATCACCCTAGCAACCACCCAGAACACCTAGATACCACCTAGCACATCTAAGTAAACAACTAGTAACCAACCAGAACACCTAGAAACCACCTAGCACTGCCCTAGAAACCACCTAGAACATTATTGTAACCACCTCTTTGCCACCAGAATCATTTAGATCACCCTAGCAACCACCCGAAACACATAGACACCACCTACTACATCCAAGCAACTGCCTAATAACCAACTAGAGCACCTAGAAACCACCTAGCACTGCCCTAGCAACCACCACTTAAAAAAGAAAAAACACACAGTTTAAGAATGTATCCTGTAGTAAATGTTGATGCTTACATAATTAATATGTAATGTAATTAATCGAAATAAAATAGTTAATCGATTGCCAGTTATAGCGAAAATCTAGTTTGTTTGATACAGTCAATAACAAGAAGATGATTTTTGTAATCATGTAGCTGGATAAGATCTGGTCTCTGAGAGCGGCCCTTCAGTGAGGCTGATATATGGTGACAATGGACCCTGATGTTGTTGTTGTTCAGTATCAGCTCTCACTCCTAATGGAAGAGGAAACTCTGTCCATTTGTGACTGAAATCAAGCCAGCCGCCACAGAGATACCAAACACCCCCATGGCATTTCCCAGGGCCCTGATAACATCGCATCTGAGATAAGACACAAAAGACGTTGACTAATCCTGGAGGAGAGAGGAGCACAGATAAAGGTTGTTTGGAGGTAAACAAGTGTGGAAAATTAGCAATGTGAGACTCAGTGGGCCGAGGCTGAGTTTATTAGGGGGGTCTCATTACGTGTGGTGTTTACCTTTTATCAACACACATAATAAGCAGCTAGTGTGTTAAAACCAATTCCCCGAACGCTCTCAGCGCCTACAGAACGTAATATTCTTAAGATGCTCCTTCGACAGTTTATGTGACTGGAATGAAGCTCTTCTCCTTCAGCACTGCTGTAATAATGTTTAAACACTATTAGCTTCATCCACAACGAAACATTACATTAAATGCCGCCCTTTAATTCATGCCATTGCCACCTAATAACATTACCATGCTACATTCTGCTGTGCAAAACCATTTCTACCAGCAGAGACGCTGCGATCAAACTGCAGAATGTGAGCGGTGTTCGCCGGTTGCCAGGGAGTTTTGCTTTTAGCATGTTGACATATGGTTGCAGGATGTTATTTAGCATTAGTATTATTTGTAGTATTCCATAGTATTATTTGAAGAAGTATCATAATAATACCATTGTGCATATATATCTGATTTAGTCTTATAAGCAAAGCACTGAAATTGGCAAGGTTGTTTGGACATGTACAGGAAGAACACCATGGTACACCATTCTTTTTGTTAACCATGCTATATATAAAAAAGAAGTTAGTTGGCACTTATAAAAAAGTACTACTTTACCATGGTACACTACTGTTTAAAGGTTTGTTTTTTATGTTTAAAAAAAGTGTCTTATACTCATCTAGGCTACATTCATTTGATCAAAATAAAATCAAAGTTATCATAGAAACACCCTATCAACCATTTAGAAGACCCTAACAAATATTTCTATCAACTTGAACTTCCAAGTGATCACCTAGCAACTACTCAACTACTGACACCTTAACTACCACCCAGAACACAACAGAAACCATATAGCAACCAATAAAGAACACCTAGCAACCCTCTTAGAACAACCAAGTAATCACCTAGAAAGCCACAACTACCACCCAGAACACAACAGAAACCACATAGCAACCACTCAGAACACCTAGCAACCATATAGAACACCATAACTACCAAGTAAGTAGCAAGTAATCATCTAGCAACTACTCAATACACAATAACTACCTCCCAGAACAAAATTAAAAAAAACACATAGAACATCTAGCAACCATATAGAACACCATAACTACCACTTAGAACACAACAGAAAAACATAGCAACCACATAGAACACCTAGCAACCATATAGAACACCATAACTACCACTTAGAACACAACAGAAAAACATAG